TGTAACAGTCTCCAGACAATTATTTTTACTGCTGGCCTTGAAAATAATGCAGTAGTCAGGGGAGGGGGAGGCTGGCTCCCTGTGGTTTGTAGATAACATAAAACCACATAAAGAAATTCACTTTAATGAAATTACTGAGAAATACATTTTACAACTAGTTTATTTTGGAGGTTGCACTGAATTTTAAGACTCAACGCCACATAGTCTGTTATTTTATGGATAAATCAGGCAACTAGTTAAATCTGCTTCAAAACATTTTCACCCTAAATTTATGGAGATCATGCTGAATATAGTGGTTTCTGCCCCTTATCAGCATGAATATACCCATTTACCTTTCTTAAAATACAAAACTTTCAGAGAATAAGGGAACAAAGCCATGTAGCACCTGAAAGAACAAATATTAACATTTTTTCTAACTTGTATTATTTTTTAAAGCAAAAGAAATGAAACATTATAGAGTTGAAACCTCCTTTGTACCTCCCTCCACCCCAGTCCCATTTCTCTCTTCCCCAGGTAACTGCTGTCCTGAAAAATTTTACCCTTCTGGTTCACATCCTTTTATGACATTAAGTGCATATTCCCAAATAACATATTCTCTTGTTTTATGTTCTAAACATAGTTTTTACTAAACAACATTTTTACATAAATGATATTGTATCAAATGTATCATTCTACAGCAGCCTCCTTTTTTCCCCCTACTTAACATTGTTTCGAGATCTACCCATGTGGATACATTGAAATCTAGTTTATTTTAACTGCCATATAAATGAGCTTTCTTATACATGTCTTTTTTGCACATATAGGAGAATTTCTCTAGAATACATTCCTAGAAGTAGAATTACTGAAGACAACTCTTTTAAAACTGGAAAAATACTAGAACCTGTCTTATGGCTGTCCTTTATTCTGATTATTCCTGTAAGTGTTAATACTCAGTGGGTGAAAAAAATACATGTGTGTATTTGGATTCTCAGAGCTATTCCAGTGAAAGGTCTAAAATTATTAACACAAGGAGATGAATGTTCATAAATCAAGGTCTCTATATGCCTGTTTCCTCATCTTTATAAAAATGAAGGTAATAAAACTACCTCTTTAGAGTTTCTGTGAGAATTAGATGAAGTCATAAATATAAAAGTATTTAGCACATGGCACTTAGTATTAGCTCAGTAAAAATGAGCTATTATCAATAGTGTTATTTTAAGATGAGTAGATATTGGATTCAGTGGCATTCAAGTGTGTCAAATTGTGTTTAATATTTTTGGCAGAATCTAGCCCTGAAACAGTAAGAAGATACAAAACATTTAAGCAGAGAGAAAACAGTAGGAAAGGCAACTAAGCACAAACTAACCCCTGTTGGCAGTGGACAGCCTATCTTTGCAGGTGCCCTCCTCCCCTCCACCCCCAACCCCCCGCCCGTTTTTTTGCCATCCATTCTGTTCAATGGTATTGTCAATTTAGCCCCATGTATGCTAGCCAAAAAACTCATCAGCAATTACCAAAAACAATTCTGTTTTTAGTATGGTTCCAATTTTAAAAATCCCATCTACCTTTGCCAGGGGAATCCCATCAGAAATGTGTTAGAAGACAAACAGTTATTTCCTGGCAAATGTGGTCAGAATCCAAAATGACTAATTAGAAGTCTGTGTGATGTAAAAAGGTGGACAAGAGATGACATGTAGTATCTTGAATACATCAACTGGTATTTGGGGCTAGAGGGAAGAATTTGTTACCTTGCTGAAATTCATACTTGGGAGTTTGAAAACAAAACAAAACAAAAGACCGTCACAAGTTTGGAGCTAAAATGACTGTGTCAAGCCAACATTCCTATCAGTGATCAAAGAGAATAAGATTTTAAAATAGTTGAATAACTAAGCAAGTGAGGAAAAGATCTGAAGTCTCAGGGTTAGTGATCTGTATTCAATTTCAATTTGTTTCTAGGGGTTTTATATCCTGTGATAAAATTAAAACTTTTAAACAATATATCTCAAGGACATGAGGGGAAAACTGAATAATTACTACAATGCTGTCATTTTGAGATTGTTCTGTTCAAATGAAGATTCTCACATGCTAAAGTTGTATTACAATTTATTTTTTACCAAGAAGAGGAATGTGCCCGATCCAGATTTTGTACAATGCTAGTTCCAAACATCACAGGAGCTCTTTTATTTTTATTTATTTATTTATTTATTTATTTATTTATTTATTTATTTATAAAAGATTTTATTTATTCATTTGACAGAGAGACACAGCAAGAGAGGAATCACAAGCAGGGGGAGTGGGAGTGGGAGAGGGAGAAGCAGGCTTCCTGCCAAGCAGGGAGCCCGATGCAGGGCTCAATGTAGGGCTCGATCCCAGGACCCTGGGATCATGACCTGAGCCGGAGGCAGACAATTAATGACTGAGCCAGCCAGGCACCTCACAGGAGCTCTTTTAAATGATCTCTGCTTTTCAGTGTTGAATAGAAGAGAAATAATTTGGGAGCAAGCATTTGAAGATTTAGAAACAATACTTGAGACATTCTATTTTCAGAAGTACAAATCTGCAGCACAATCAAATTCAAGGACGGATGACTAAAGTAGATGGTCAATCACCAAGATGTATTTCTTTTGTTTCCACCTTAATATTTTACTGATTTACAGACCCAATAGGAAAACAAGTATAGAGTTTTTCTTTTTCTTTAAAATGAACAATGGATTCTCCTGAAATACTACATTTAGAAGACTTACATAGGAAGTCTGGAGGAGAGAGGAAGTTCCTTTCATTCTATTCTCCTTCCAAAGCCCACTCCCATCTTGCTCCAATCTAAAAATGAGCACTGTTTTCTCTTTTTTTTTTTTAAAGATTTTATTTATTTATTTGAGACAGAGAGAATGAGAGAGAGAGAGAGAGCACATGAGAGGGGGGAGGGTCAGAGGGAGAAGCAGGCTCCCTGCCAAGCAGGGAGCCTGATGCGGGACTCGATCCAGGGACTCCAGGATCATGACCTGAGCCGAAGGCAGTTGCTTAACCAATGGAGCCACCCAGGCGCCCCAGCACTGTTTTCTCTTAATTCAGCTTCTAATGTACCTTTGCACTGATTTTTTCACAAGTGAAGGATTTCCAGCCTGAGGAACTAAATATATGAATATATGTATTTGCATAATGTCATAAAAATTTAAAACAAATGAAATAGAAAGAACCTCATAAATGACATTTCAGTAAGAGGTGATAAGAAAATTAATTCAAAACATTCATCTTTTAAACAGAAAATCCTAGAAAAGAAAATAGGTTTGCTATCGAAGACAAAGAACTTCCAACTAAAGGGTCTTATTAGAGGGTTTGATTTTTTGGGTCTTCCAAAGACCAAACACACAGTCATTCCAGATTTTGTCTTCCTATATAGTATCTGCTAATTTGTCCCTCTGTTTGACCTGACCAGTTCCGTGGTCTTTGACTCTGGTCGAACTCTGTCATCTCTAGGGCCTTTCCTTTCAGTAACGGCCCTCTGGATAAGATGCCTATACCCAGGAATTTGGTTCTACTTTTCTGCCCTCAGCAGCTCCAAATCTCCAACTTGTCTCCTAGGTCCCAAAGCCCAGTATTTACCAGATCTTGGCTCCATCCTACAGCACAGAAGATAGAACATACCTAACTGTCGGATTTTCCAATCATTGTTATCAACCCCAATATTGCGGAAATATCTGCGGATGTTTATGATGGTGTATTTGTATTATACACACATATCCAAATGTTTATACACACTGATACACAGAGAAAATTTAGGATAGCTCATAATTTAAAAAAAATTATTTTTTTCTGAGCACCCTGGTTTTCCCAAGGGGTTTATTTGGGCAGACCCAGGGACAGGGAGGCTCTGTATCTAAAAGAAGGTGTTGGGCCTCTTGGTGGTGAAGCCTGGCTTGTGCTGGCCATGCAGGACCCAGTGAGGCAGCGGGAACTTGATCTTGGAGTCCTGGAACTGCCTGACGGCTGGTCGGCGGCACTTGCTGCCTGCAGTCTCCTTCACCTTCATGATCTGGATTGAGTGGGCCTGGTGTGGTGCTAGTGCCCACATCTCAGCACAGGGGCACAATGCCTGCAGTGGTCAGCTCCCGGCCCGTGTTGTGGGAGCCCTTGTGGGAGTCATAGCACAGCCAGATGCCAACATTCTTTACCCACAAGGAAGATTTCTCCAACACCTGTCCACAGTCAAAAATTTCCCCTGAAGACTTCATCTTCTTCAGCTGAGACACAAAGTACCAAAAGCAGAACTTGGTGACCACATGATAAGGTGCAGAGATTTGCACCCGGTGGAGGGGTGGAGTGCGACATTTGGGGTGGGCAGGCAGCTCCTCACCACTTGCACTCTTGCCGTGTGCCCGAGGCCTTCAGGTCATTCTCTCTGCTCTCCCTGCCACCCCAGAAAGGATTAGAATAGCTCATAATTTTGATAGACACGACACATGTCAATCGTGTCTTTAATTTCCTTTCTTCTTTCCTCCTTTTTTTGTTCATTTGAATAACATATGTGACAGATGTCCATTGACAGATGAATGGTTAAAGAAGACATGGCAGATATATATACAATGGGATATTTCTCGGCCATCCAAAAGAATGAAATCTTGCCATTTGCAATGATGTGTGGAAGGAAAGAGAGTGTATTATGCTAAGTGAAATAAGTCAGAGAAAGACAAATATCATATGATTTCACTCATACGTGGAATTTAAGAAACAAAACTGATGAACATAGGGAAAAGGAAGGAAAAATAAAATAAGAGCGGGAGACAAACCATAAGAGACTCTTAACTCTAGGAAACAAACTTAGGGTTGCTAGAGAGGAGGTGGGTGGGGGGGATGGGGTAACTGGGTGATGGACATTAAGGAGGGTACTTAATGGAATGAGCACTGGGTGTTATATGCAACTGATGATTCTCTAAACACTACCTCTGAAACTAATAATACACCATATGTTAATTAAATTGAATTTAAATTAAAAAATTTAAAAGCAAAAACCATACTGGGTGACAAGAGAAAACAAATCAGACACAATCCATGTCTGAACAGTCACAGAAGTGAGAGAAAAATTTGAGTTGGATGCTTACTTAGCCTGTGACAAAGTTATATGCCACACTGGTGTTTTAAACGGGCTCATTGCCTAAAACCCTCAGAATTGCCTCTAATCACATGACCTTAACAGTCTATTGCTGCTTCCAATAGGTTTTCATCTTTGACCCCATTTCCAGCCTGGCTTCCATCACCTTTGCTTGCATACTGAGCCCTCCTACTCCTTTTCTATCCCACTCTCTTGATCACACCAATTCCAATCTGCCTGCTTTTCCATTCTAGCTTCTGAACTTTGCATACCAGCTAACCTCAAATTTGCAACCCCATTATTCATTTCTTACTGATTTCTAACATAGCTATTCCCAGCATTTCCTGTTCTTCTAAGTTCCTAATGTCCACATTCTTTGATAAATTTTGTTCAACAAATACAAATTGAGAATCAGCAATATGCCACCTGCTACACTAGGTGATGGGCATTACAGTAAGGGGACAAAACAGACCCAATCCCTGCCCTGACACATCTTACTGTCTAGTGAGGGAAACAAAGATAGCTTCCCACCCATGCTGCTTTGCTGGAAAGATCCAGGCCTCTGGCTATCATCAACCTCTTCGTCTTTGCTTTCTCTACGTCATCCCTCTTTGCTTCTTCTTTGTCTCTACTTTCCCTCCTATCCCAGAGGAAGAGTCAATCTTATTTACTTTCCCATATGAGCTCTTGAATTCATTCCCTTCTTTCCTCTTCCAATACCGTACTCCTTATGTTTCTTCATACTTTTTATTCTGAAATAAATGATATTATCTTAAACCCTTTAGACAGTCTGTATTAAATACAAAGCTGTATTTTGACTTTCTTTGATGGAAGAAATGCTGAGTACATTTGTTAATATCTTCAAATTCAGAATTGGCAGTTTCTTTGAGTGCTATCTGATATTTTTTTTCTTTTCGAAATCTGTGTTCTGTCCCAAAATAATCAGCATAGGAGCCAGTGGATTAACATTCTTGGATCTGGTCTAAACATTCTAATGAATAGTTCCTTAGCAGATATGTCAGGATCCCTTCTTTTCAGATGATTTTATTTGGATTACCTTCCAGGTACTTTCTATTTCTATTTGCTATAAAAAAAGTCCCACACATAGGGGTGCCTGGGTGGCTCAGTCGTTAAGCGTCTGCCTTTGGCTCAGGTCATGATCCCAGGGTCCTGGGATCAAGCCCTGCATCGGGCTCCCTGCTTGGCGGGAAGCCTGCTTCTCCCTCTCCCACTCCCCCTGCTTGTGTTCCTTCTCTCACTGTGCCTCTCTCTCTATCAAATAAATAAAGAAAATCTTAAAAAAAAAAAAAGTCCCACACATATAGGCTTGGTTTTTCAGTTTTTAATCTTAGATTGGGTAACAAATACAAGAAAAATTATTTTCCCTTTCTAATCTCCTAATTTTGGATTGGTAAAGAAGAGTATTTCAGTATCTAGGAATTCTTATAGAAATTTCCCGTTAGATTTAGTAATTACTTCTCATACACAATTTACTGCATCGATTCATGAAAACCTCTCTCCCATAGGTGATGTCACCCACTACTTTACTGTGATCATAACCTGGAAAATCCTGAGTGTATGGTCTTTCAATTCCAGTGCCTTATTTTTCAGAGAGAGGGTGTCAGAAACATCTGGTTCCTCTTTTTAAAATACTACTTTTAAAAAAGGGCACCACATGAAACAAGTTTGGGAAGGTAAAGAGAACATTACTGATGGCTTTATTTCACCATTGGTCTTCAAGCCAGCATTTCTTCTTCAGGGACACAGAATATGGGAGCAAGAAGCACTAATATATTGTATTTTTATTGCTGTTGATACAATTTGACAGTGAGTAGAGATTTGTGGGAAAACTGAGAAATAAATCCAGTCGAAGAGGTAGGCCCTTCAGATACTTGAGGTGTGGGTCCTACACTATAATAAGAATCTCAGACCTTGGTCCTTCTTTCAGGGTACCTTCAATACATGTATTACAGGAGACAGGATGCAGGGACTGTTGGTATCTACTCCTGGTACAATGTACCTTCCTTCTCTGGGTCAGGGAAGAGGCTCCACTTTTGACTACATCCTCAGTGTCCCAGTTGCCCATTTTCTTTAATGATCATGATTGGCACTTTCCCAGAGCCTCAAATGCCTGCGACCTCTTGGTAGAGAAGCAGGCTCAAGCTAATAGGAGAACAGCATTGGGGCCGAGAAAGCAGTGGAGATGAGCTGAAGCAAAGGAGCTAGCTCCAATCAGGGAGAGGTCAGCAGTTAAAATCATTGAGTCAAAGCGACAAGATGAATTTCAGCTCACTTTGTAGTGTGTCTATATGCAAAGGGTCTAGTCCAAGGGATCTGGGCAATGTGTAGGAGAAGCTTCTGGGGATGAGCATCTTAAGGCAGTAAGTGGGTATGTGAATCTTAAATGAGAGAGGCCCTTTCAAATTATGGAAGCAGATGTATAGCCCCATGAAAAGGGTCTTCTGTGAACCAGATGAGGGAGTCATAAGGGAGTCAAAATCCTAGATGACACAGCTGAAGTATGGAGGCCTTTAGGTCCAGTAAGGATGGAGTGGGGGACATCTAGAATCTGGGACTTGGGTCAAAGGCTCATCAGACCATTTGGCTACATGGTGATGAGTTAGAGCTCTGACAACTCTGCTGTAAAGTCCAGTCCAAATGTGACCAATCCCAAATGCCTCTGGAGCTATCCTGACTGATAGCTTTTCATTGGCCATGGGAGCGGTGTGGAACAGCTTACTGGCACCAGTGTCTGCTCATCTGGAATGGCAGGCAAGAAGCTAAAGTGGGGGCAAAGGTTGGCAGCAACTGACTTGGAACCACAGATCAAAGCTTATCATCTGATACACACGTCTGTGTACATGCACAACAGCTAGGGCTAGAAAGGCTGCCCAGTTATTAGTGGCACAACATATGACCAAGGCATTAGCAAGGAACAGAAACCAGATTATTCAGGAATAGGCATGAGCGCTGGCCCACGCATAAGCCAAAAACCAATTGGGTCAATGGAATACCAGAGGGTTTCCTTCTTTTGCAGCAAGGTCTACAGGCCTTATACCACCTGGTTCTAAAGTGCCACATTTTGGCAGAGCAAGTAACAGGATGGAGCCTGAAAGAAACAAGAAGAAAAGATTTAAAAGAGAAAAACTAGGAAGTTCCATTTTGTTGGCTCAAAAAAGTACCACTCGCATAATTACAAAAAGCCTGACTTGGCAACCATTCATGAGAAAAAGACCTGGGGATTTTGTTGGTAACAAGCTCAACATGACTGAGTTGTGATATGGTTGTTGCAAAACAAACAAACAAACAAACAAACAAACAAAACAAACCGAAAGCCAATGAAATCTTCAATTACATCAGCAAAATATAGTGTCCAGATAAAGGGAGGCAATGGTTCCACTGAACTCAGCAGTGGTAAGGTCTCATCTGGAGGCTTATATCTAAGCACCTTTTAAAGACAGACACATATAAACCAGCATGAATCCAGAGAAAGACAATTAGGCCATAGAAAAATCTGAAAACGATGTCACCTGATACATGATTAGAAAAACTGGTTGTGCTTGGCCAAAAGAGAAAAGACTGGGGCAGGAATGTGTCTTCCAACACATCAAGGATCGTCTGATGAGAGGAATATCTTGAAGGTTTGTTAATTCAGAGGACAGATGAGGACTGGGTTTCAGCGTACGGACAAGCAGACATTTAAAGAAGCAAACCCAGATGACGATAAAACTACTTTCCAAAATCATGAACTATCTGTTACTGAATATGTTCAGATCGAATTTGGATGGTCCTATAAGGAATCCTAATTTTGTGTATGTGGATTGGGCAGGGGAGGCCCATGTAAGAGGAGTAAGGGGGCTGGATTAGCCCTAGGAGTCCATAATTACTCTCCACCTCCAGTCTTTCCACCTGAACGCCATCCCTTCCCATTTCTTCCAGAGTTTGCTTCCATGGCCGCCCCTGCCTTGTCTAGTATCTTAACATTTTCTCCTTCCAAAAATCCTTTCCAATTTTTATTTTTTAAAGAAAGGAACAATCTTCATTTGATCTTTTGTTTTTGCTTAGAGTGGAGTGCTATTATTGCTTTTACCTGTTCAGCATCTTTGTATTTGGAAACGGTATCACGATTTCTTTGGGTGACTACCCCCTTTACTCTTGGGTCATAAGATTAGAGTGGTATTAACCACCACCACTCCTAGGGGTGATCATATGACCTTTGCCTGGCCTACTAGTGTTTCAAACAGTGATTAATTCAGGGATGGACATGTGACCTAAGCTGTCCAGTAAGTATCAATTCTAAGGTTTTTTTACTGGAATCATTAGGACCTGCTGGGACTACTTGTTTGTTCATTGTAAAGCTGGAGCTGCCAGAAGCCAGCATGTGGAAAGAGTCTGCAAGAGAATGAAGCCAGCACAGAAAAGTGGGTGTGGAGGTGGAGAAAGAGAAAGAATATCCTGATGATATTGTTGAATCTCTGGACTTTCCAGTTACTCAAGCCAATAAACTTCTTCTTTGGTTTAAATCTCTGTCTCTTGAAACCAAAATAGTCTGAACAATATGTTTGGGCTCTCTGTTTCTTTCTAACTTCTCTCGTTCTTCTCACTTCTTTACATGGTGTCCGGGGCCCATGGCAACTTGCCCGGCCCGCCTCACCAGCTGCATCTCTCCCAGCTGGCTTTGACACTGCTGTAGGCGCTCAGTGCTGGTGCGGAAGGGGCAGGCTGGCTCTGTGCCAGTCCTTCTGAAGTCTGACTCCCTTGCAACATTTTTGCAAGGAACCTTCTTTTCACTCCTACATGCTTTTGTCTCTGAGTCTTCCTTTCACATTAATTTGTTTCTCTCTATGGCTCTTCCATTTTTCTATTAAGTTAGCATCCTGGTAGTCATCTGAGATGTATTTATTAAGCACCTCCCAGCTGGGCTAGATGCTAGTGATTCAATGGGGAGGTCAACGTACATAGCCCCTGTCATCCTGGGCTGACAGTCCAGGGGAGAACTCTAACTGATGCAGCTGTATCCAAATCACAACTGGGAGAGAATCCAAGCAGCTGCCCTTTTGAACCTCGATTTCACACAATGTAGGAAAGCCGTCATCATACTCTTAAGAGTTACATTTTCCCATTGCAGATGTATGATACAAAATTCAAAAGGAACAAAAGTATAGAATGAAAATTTTCTGGAGGTGAAAACCTCTGTCTTACCCCTTCAGCACCCCTCCCCCCCCAGGCAACTATTATTAGTGCCTTATGTATCAATCAAAAACAAGTCTGTGCACATGCAGGCAAAGATATATATATATATATGTTCCCCACTCCCACCCCTTTTACAGAGTCTTGGCACCTTGCTTTTTTACTCAACAATGTATCTTGGAAGAAATGCTGTATCAGTACCTACAAAGGTACACTGTTCTTTTTAATGGATGAGTAATATTCAACTGTACAGAGACACCCTACATTACTTAAATGATCTCCTGTTGATATACCTTAGGTTGTTTCCAATACGATGCTCCTCCAAACAAATTTGCAACCATTATCTGAGTTATATATTATTTCATACTTATTATGAGTTATCTGTAGGATAAACTCCTAAAAGTGGAATTGTTGGATCAAAGAATATGTCTAATTTTCCATATTGATATCTATTGTCCACTTATCCCCCAAAGTGATCACATAAATTAACAGTCTATCAACAATGGGTGAATGCCTGTTTTCCAGCATCCTCTTTGACAAAGTCTATTATTAAACATTTTGG